CCTCTATTGCTGACACTCATGTCTGGAATCTGACTTCTGCCAGGACTGAAGATGTTTGCATTAGGGTTTAGCTGCGGGGTCTGGAAGGGCTTCCTGTTGTCTGGGGCTGATGAGGTCCTCGGTTAATATATCCTCCCTGTGTAAAAGACAGTAAATCGTCCTTTAATGTATTTAATTAACATTGAAATTTACTAATATTTTCCATTTGTGTATTCTGGCTTTCTCTCAACTGTTGGAGACTTTCTTCCTGTTTCTTTTCTTGTTCCAATTGTCACTGGTGCTGGTTTTCTTGCCACTGCTGTTGTTTCTCTTCTTGTTTATTTTCTCGTTCTTCTTGTTTCCTTTCTTTTTCCTCCAACAATGCTATAATCTCTCTTGTTTATTTTGCTGTTCGATCTGCCACTGTTGCAGGTTTTCTTCCCATTGCTGTTGTCTCTCTAATTGTTACTTTTCTTTTTCCTCCAGCAACTGCTGCAATCTAGTTTATTTTGCTGTTTGAGCTGCCACTGTTGCAGCTTTTCTTGCCACTGGTGTTGTCTCTCCTCTTGTTTCTTTTCTTTTTCCTCCAACAACTGCTGTAATCTCTGTTCTTGTTTCTTTTCTTTTTCCTCCACCAACTGCTGTAATCACTCTTCTTGTTTCTTTTCCTGTTCTTGTATTTCTACTATCAAATCTGCTAAATTCCCATAAAAATTCTTTCCGATAAACTTCAGCAATACAAGTCCTTTCTTGGTTCTCGATACACACTCGTAGTACACAGTAATTTCACAGTCAATATGTTTCTCATCGCTTTAAACTTAACTACTTTTATAATACACGCTATAAATTACAGCGATTCACAATCTCGATAACAAAACACACAGTAGCTCGAAACAGAATCGTAATTCCTGGAACTCTCTTCATTCATTTAATCTCGGAGGCTTTCTCTACCAGGCTTATATACTAAAAAAGACGGCGTTGCGAACAAACTCGGTCTTCCCCAATAATTCATAATCATTCGAGAAATTCTTCATGTGTTACCAGCGTCACGTGACTTCCACTGTCGTAACACTAGTTATTATTCTGTGTTCTTAGGTGTATTATTTAATAAAATAAGTTATTTAGTGTACTAATACCGTTAATATATTGTTACGACAGCGGAAGTCACGTGATGCTGGTAACACGTCATGAGTTTCTAGAAGGATGATGACTGTACCTGGCAACTCTAGTCTTTTCTAGGCACCCTCTATTTTAGTATATAAGCCCTACAAATAAAGCGGAAATATAATTCCAGAGTAGGAGATATAAAATAGATAATCATGTCAAGTCGTAAGTAAAGTGCATGAATCGTGAACTATAGCATGTGTTTAAGTTAAAGTGACTGTGGAAATTATGTGTATTGCAAAGTTGTATTGAGAAAGAATAAACTAGTTTTATTTTAGAAAGGACTTGTATCACTGAAATTCTTCAGAAAGAATTTTTATGGGAAATTAACAAACGACTAGAGACATAACAATATAAAAGTTTCATTGACAGCAGAAATAAAAAATATCCAGGTAAGTATATTATATTTCTTGTTTTTCATGTGTATTCTTTACTTATTATTATAAAAGTAACTAAAAAGTTAGAAACTTATTAAGTTACATAAGGTTGGATTAGGTTGAATAATGAAAAGTATTTTTGATTCTAACATGAAAAGCCACTTGGCACTCTATATTCATAGACAAATTTTTAGTAAAAAATACTTAATCAAAAATCTGATTTCTGTGTACAAAAGATGTGTAGTATTTACTGAAATCCAAATTTTGTAAAGATACACAAAACATGTTAAATATCATAGCACAGAAATTCTGGTTACTTTTGGGTTACATGGCACATGTAATCCACTGGGCCCATAGTGAAAGGTTTAACTACATTTTGATTCCAACTTTATTGATAACAAGATAGTGTAAATGTTGAATGTAACTCATAAATGTCATGATATTTACACGTTGACCTTCCCATAATGAGAGGACTGAAATGAATGTATCATTTATTTTGATTTTAGATACAAAGACCAGTGTGAACATCTGTTGTGGAACTGGATATGTTTTAAAACAAGAAGATCCTGTTACAAATAATGATCATTCTGAGGAAACAAATTTAAATGGAAGTAACATAAAAGAATCTAACATATCTCAGGGTGGCAATAAACCTTTCAGTTATGTAATTGGGAAAAAACCTTATAGTTGTTCAATTTGTTCAAAAGAATTTAGAACAAATAATACATTAAAAAATCATGAAAGAATACATACTGGACAGAAACCTTATTATTGTGAAATTTGTGGAAAAGAATTTAAAACAAATTGTGACTTAAAAATGCATCAAGAAATTCACACTAGAGAAAAACATTGTTGTGCAGTTTGTGGAAAACACTTTAGAAAAAATAATGAACTTAAAAAGCATGAAAGCAATACATACTGAGGAAAAACCTTACCATTGTGAAATTTGTGGAAAAGACTTTAGAATAAGCAAGTCCTTAAAATATCATGAAAGAGTACATACTGGAGAGAAACCCTTCAGTTGTGACTTTTGTGGAAAACAATTTGGAAGTAATTTTAGCTTAAAAATACATAAACAAACACATACTGGGGAGAAACCTTACACATGCACAGTATGTGATAAACAATTTGGAACAAATAATGCATTAAAAAAGCATGAAATAATACATACTGACAAGAAACCTTACTGTTGCATAACTTGTGGAAAATACTTTAAAACAAATAAGGACTTACAAATTCATCAAGCAAAACACAGTGGGAAAAAACCTTATTGTTGTACAGTTTGTGAAAAACATTTTGGAACAAATTATGAATTAAAACAGCATGAAAGAACACATACTGACAAGAAACCCTACTGTTGTGCAGTTTGTGGAAAAAACTTTAGATTAAGGAGTTCCTTAAAATGTCATGAAAGAATACATACTGGAGAGAAACCTTACAGTTGTGACATTTGCGGAAAAGAATTTAGAGTTAAATGTAGCCTAAAAACACATAAACGGGTACATACTGGGGAGAAACCTTACACTTGTGTAGTATGTAATAAACAGCTTAAAACAAATAGTGCATTAAGATATCACGAAGGAATACATACTGGTGTGAAACCTTACACTTGTGCAGTATGTAATAAACAGTTTAGAACAAATAAAGCATTGAGATATCATAAAATAATGCATACTGAGGAGAAACCTTACACTTGTGTAGTATGTAATAGAAAGTTTAGAACAAATAGTGCATTAAGATATCATAAAGGAACACATACTGGTGTGAAACCTTACACTTGTGTAGTATGCAATAAAGAGTTTACAGGACATACTGCATTTCAATATCATAAAAGAATACACACTAGGAGAAACCTTAAACGTGTATAGTATTTAATAAACAGTTTAGAATAAATAAAGCATTGAGATATTATAAAGGAATACATACTGGGGAGAAACCTTACTGTTGTATAGTTAGTAAAATTGATTTTGAAGTAACTCTGGTTTAGAAAGATATCAAAGAAACTTTGTTTTAAAAAAAAACATCAAAGCATACGCTTTGGATAAAATCCATATATATTCTTTCAGTTCTTAGAACAACTTCTGAATGTGGTAATTGTTGAACCACATGAATTAAGGTGTACTGGTCTATCTTTGGTGTGTTTTTGATGCCTTTAGCTGGGAATTATTGTGTTTGTCATGACAATGTGTAAACAAAGAAAATGAAAAGAGAAAAGTTAAATATGAATGGAAGTGGATGGAGAGGACATCCATTGTTCCTGTAAAAGGAGGAAACTTGATAACTGTCTAGTTTTTCTTCCTTATTCTTTATGTATATACTATATGAGTAATGATTAGAACCAGTTTCTATATATATTAATATTTCAACATGTACTGAGAATTTGGTGTTATATTTGATTTCCATGGATTTGATTTTGTGAACACTTCTGAATTCTGGGACTTGAATGATCTAGAACTACCAATCTCACTTTTCCTTGCTGAAGAAAGTAATTGTACAGTTTCTTGTAAGATGATTCTGTCACAAACTTAATAAAAGAATAAACAAAATATTAATAACCATATTTATTATGCCTAAAGTTTAATATTTATAAATATTTAACCTGCATAAGGATCTCTTGAATAGGAATTTTAAAGTTTTGATGTTTAAAGAACATGTTAAGAGGACAAAGCATCAACCAACCACTTGTAAAATAAGATACTATTTAAAATTAATTGATGAAATTAGTGGTTGAAAGTAAAGTTTATTGTTGTAATACTATACCATCATATTTCCACAGTTGAATTTTTTTATTGTAAACCTTTCTGTTGAACATAATCTTATACCTTTATTTTATGTTTTGAATACTATTTCGGTCGAGAGATTAAAGTTTTATAAGGTGTGAATATGTGCAAATTGTCATAATTATTTTGACATTTATGATTTATTGTGATTGTATTAGACCATTGAAATAAATTTAGAAGTACATCAAATAATGGACTATTACACAAAACTGCCAGAAGCATATGCTGTTTTTAATTAAGGAAGCAGAAGGAAACTCACTGATATTCTGTTGAAAGATGTAGTATGTTCATCCATCATTAAAACTTTTCCTTATGCTTATAAATCATTGTTTGCCTACCTATTATAATATATAACACCAACATGAAAAAATATACATATCAACCAAACAATAACAAAAATACATTTTGTGTTTTTTACCATTCATGCACCTATTCCAATGAAAGTATGCTTTCAACTTCATGTGAACCGAGAATGCTGCTACCATCTCTGAGAAATTCGTCACAAAACAACAACTAGATGTTCTATAAAGTTATAAGTGTTTTTAGTACATTTCTACGTGATATGCCCCCAGTGTGTCTATGGACTTACAACGTTGCACAGATAGCCCATTGTGGTAATATAAAACTAGAGAAAGCTATGGACCTTTCAGTTAATTAAAGGTCAAGGCCATTCTCTAACTGCAACTATATTGCTTGTTCTATGGAGACTCTATCTTTCCAAACAGTTTGGCCAATAAACTCCACTTCTGTTCAAAGGACGAAACAGTTCCTGGGCTTAATCTCAGGCCAGTCTTCCTTAGATATGGAAATATCCTTAGGTACTCTTATGCTGCCTTGAAATGTGTAATGAAACACCCAAACATATGACAGATCAGACATCCTTTCCTTTGCATTCTCTAAAGTGTAAGCTCCGCTAACCTTTCTGGTGTGGCTAATGCATTATACAGAAGAAATGGCGTGATACAAAATTCATGTAAGCCATCCTGTGTTCAAAGAAGTCTTAGTTTTCTCATCCAGCTCCTCTTGCCAGTATCTGGGTGCTACATTTTAGGTGTTAAACCAACGTGATCATTCTAATGCATCCAGAGATGCACCTGTTTCTGTCAAAAGTTAATGGAAAGCCTCAACATGCCTCATTGTTTTTGGTAATTACCACTTGTAATAATCAAGCATTTTCTGAAAACTGTATAATTCCCTCTTGCGACATCTGCTTTTTCTTCAGCACTTGCAATATTTCTAGTGCCCTAAAGGAGTGAGTACAATGGCACATTTATTGGACACACATTGTCTTTGTCTATATGGTGCTGAGTTGTTGTTTGACCCAGTGAGCCATATTGTTCCACAAATACATTGAGATATTCATATAAAAGTCATTTAGTTGCTTTAATTGCATTAGGCCTAGATTGTTGACGCAATCGTTAGTCAATACCTTCGGGTGTGTTGATAGCCCTATATTTGCTTTTGGTCATGGAACAAAGTAAGCCACCTTAGTGTTACTAGTAACATTTGTCACTTTACTCACCTGGCCAGGTGATTAGGGCACTTGACTCGCAATATGCCAGTCGTGGGGTCGAATCCCAATCCCACCAAACATGATCGCCCTTTCAGCCATGGGGGCATTATATAGTGACAGTCAATCCCACTATTCATTGTTAAAAGATTTGGTAGTGGTTGATGATTAGTAGCTACCTTCCCTCTAATCTTTCACTACTAAATGAGGGATGGCTAGTGCAGGTAGATTTCATATAGCTTTCCACGAAATTCACATCAAACAAACAAAATTTCACTCCAAATGCATATAACTATTTCAGTATTCATCTGATTAACCCTTTGTACATAATAATAGTGTAACACCAAGAATTGGTCCCTTGTTGGATGAATCACTTCCCAAGCTAATAATAGATACGAAAAACATTATTTCATGCATATTTTTTTATAATCATGTCCTATGGCATTCACACATTTTACTTTGTCTGGGTCAAACCACATAACACCACTTGTGTACATGGTGGTACAACATTCCCTCATGCACTTCACTCTTCATGTATTTGATATGTTTGGCATTGGATGACATTCCTGTGAAACATAAGCTTAATCATTGTACAGACAAAATTCACCAATTAACCCGAGCATACCTATTGCAGATTCGAGATCAGAAATAGTAATTACCATTTATATTCTATGGTTGACACCTCTTAGACTAAGCCAGAGATTTATCTCCCCATTAGCATTCAATCTATTGTCATGTGCTGAACGAAGTTGGCATTCACTGGCTATAGTGGTTGTTTCACTTGGAGGGCTTGAAAGGTTTTCTCTACACTACCAAGAACTCAACTCCTTGCACTACTGTCATACTAAGTCTCACTCAACTCTGATATACCTAGGCTGACAAATAAACTTCTTAGTGCAAGCAAACTAATATATAGAAGTCATCATTTACAAATCAGTGTTCTGTAATTTTCTTATATGAAACTCACTTCTCATCATAGACTAATACATTATCTTTAGTTTATGTAAGTAAAATATCAGACGTAAGTATCACACATATTGAAACATTTGTTAACCAAACTTCAAGATATACTTGTATACTATTTTCGAATTCATCTTAGTTTATAAAATACTGATTTACAGTCCAATGTAATAATTGATGCTGTATATATTTGTTCTAGCACGTTATTTGTCGCCATAAATGAAACATTAAGGCATTCTCCAAAGTTATAAAAGTTTCTCTATTTTAGAAACTATACAAAACATATCCTGTACTTGAAATCCGTAAATAAATTGACTGTCAAATATATGAAAAACTAAATTCAGTAGATCTTGCATTTCAAAAAATATTCTAAGCCTGCATTACATTTACGTGACATACAAAAATTATAGTTAAAGTATGGTGAATATTACATTTATATAGAAAATATATGATTATGTAGAGTTTGAACCATTTATGTTCAATATTAAGTATAATGTAAATATTAGGGCGTCATGAAATTAATGTCGCGTTTTAGAACACTTTCATTAACCACCATCACGTATAATAGTTAAATGAACCTCCTAAACACCACGTTAGTGTAGCTTATATAATGTGTAAAGTTTAGTATACTCTAATCCTTTATAGTGAATAAGGTTTAGAACGAAGGTGTTTCATTGCCTCAGGAACTCTCCGATGATCATTATTTCCAACGTTGTTGTTTCGTCTCTTTTGGCGCGTGAACAATTTTTGGACAGAATTGTCACCGTTAATGAAAAATAGATTCTCTATTCGAATATTAAACGCCAAAAACAATGGCTCAGTTCTAGGCAAAACCCACTTCCGACCCCGAAACTTGGGCTCAATCCACAGAAAGTGATGCTTTGCATTTGGGTGGGACATCAAAGGAGTAATTAATTTCGAACTCCTTAATCCACAGCGAACTGTCAATGCAGAGATCTACAGTCAACAACTGGAACATTTAAATCAAGCCCTTCACCAGAAACGTCCTTCACTCATCAATCGAAAAGGTGTTCTTCTTCTCCACGACAATGCACGTCCACATTTGGCATGTTTGACGCAACACAAGATTATGGAATTGGGTTGGGAAGTTATCTCCCATCCATCATATTCTTGCGATATGGCACGATCAGATTACCATCTTTTTCTTTCGCTGCAACACCATCTTAATGGGAAAACGTATGCAAATGTGAAAGGTGTTAAAGAGGACATCGACATGTTCTTTGCTTCAAAGCCAAGTTATTTCTTTAATCAGGGCATTAACAACCTGATTGTAAGATGGAAAAAGCATCATCGATAAGAATGGAGACTATTTCATTTAATATATGTTTTGTTTTGATACATAAGTTGTTCGGGTTTTTTCATCTAAAAAAAGGCGATATTAATTTCTTGACGACCTAATATGTAGATTAAGAAAGTACTGACAGTAACAGATAACTTGATTACGGGAGAAATAACCGATTGTTAGTGTAAAGAAGTGTATTTTATACGTGAAAATGTAAATAAAAATGTAGGTATTATGTGAAATCTTAGTCTCGGGGCCGTTTTCTTTAGTATAACCGTAAATTCCCCGGAGTTAGCGACTTGTGTACTCCAGTCGCAACTGGATACCTTCACTTAACTATATTTGGTGTAACTGGCTGTAAAGTCGAAGCTCCAACGAGTAGCCCAAGGGCCTGCCGTTACATCAGTCACACCTGATTTCAACTTCATCTGGTTATTCTTAGACTTGCTGCACCTTTTTGTTTTTCACACATAAGGTGTTTTTGATTAGATTTTTCATATACAATTTACATATACACACGAGTGCATAGAACAACTTTAGGAAATAAATATTTTCTGAATGAAAATAGCTTGCATAGATTGTCTGTTTGTTTTTAATTATGCGCAAAGCTACACAAGGGCTATTTGTGCTCTGCTCACCACGGGTATCGAAACCCGGTTTCTAGCGTTGTAAGTCCGCAGACATACCGCTGTGCCACTGGGGGGCGCTTGCATAGATATACCGTATTTTATTTATACTAGATGTATATTTCGTTTCACAAAATATCATATAATTAGGCCAACAATTCTTGCTCTGCACCATTTTGGTTTAAATTAATATCTGAAGTCAAACAGTTCAACACAGATTTTCAAACAATAAAAATTTTCACAGCATTTTCCATTAAATAAGAGGGTGGTTTTAATATTAACAATTGAGTCAAGCATCTTCAAACTCATTTTGTTTCAATATTTTTTGGAAGAATTATGTTAAAGACAAAGTATTTTACGCGTGTTTTATCAATTCTATTTATACAGGCTCAGTCATTTTTATCGACATTCCAACCACCCCAAAAAATATGAAATAAATTTAAATTATCCCTTTTTCTTTCAAGAACGGCTGCAGATTATAACAGAAAATTACAATTACTTATAATTATGTTGCTGCAGAATTTTTTTTTATTTTTTTTATTCTTAGAATGCCAAATATTTCCAAACACATATAATAGAATGCCCTAAAACTTACATAGTTTATCTAGCTTTCCAAGTAACACAGGCTCCCCCAGTGGCACAGCGGCTTGTCTGTGGACTTATATACCACCAGAATTCGATACTCGTGGTGGGCAGAGCACCTGTAGCCCTTCGTGTAACTATGTACTTAACTACAAACGAACGAATAACTAACATAGGAATGACTTAAAGTTATTCCCATACCTAGTCAAGCAGAGCCCCAATAGTGAG